TTTTTTTTTTTTTTTTTTTGTTGTTGTTTTTGTTTTTTTTTAGTTGAATGAACATTACTAACTACATTCTCTAGAAGGGTTTTTCAAAGCAACTTACTCTCCTGTTTGCCTATGTTTAGCTCCCAGAAGAGGACAATTGCAGGGCCTTCAGAAGCTCACAGATAATAATTTAGAGGGTATTTTCATGTAGATTTGGGTCCAGTCCCTTAAATGTGGTAGTCAGTCCCAGTCCAATAGGTACTTGGGGTATAGGTTGTCTGCAGGCTTGGACCCTATGGCTCTAGTATGGAGATGCTGCCTCCTGTGTTTATCAAGCGGCCCTTGAAATGGACCTGGTGTCCAAACAGCATGGAGAACCTACCGTCTGGATACTGAATCCTTGTAAAGCATCCCAAGCTTTAGCTATAGAGGCCCTCAGAACCCCACATCACTCTTGAAGATATGGGCCCTACTGAGACTGTCAAATTATGGGCAGGTCTGATGGCCATGCTCACCCAACTCCGTGGTTCCCGTCTCTTCCCTTCTGACTAGCAGTGCTCTTATCTCCTCTGTCTTGACCCCAGTGATTTTCTTTTTGTCTGAAATAGGGTGGCCCTGTGGAAATCCTCCCCTTCCTCTACCTTGGCAGCGCATACCATGCAGCCCGGCGGGACATGCTGGACACGTTGGGGATCACAGCCTTGCTGAATGTTTCTTCGGACTGCCCCAATCACTTTGAAGGACACTATCAGTACAAGTGCATCCCGGTGGAGGATAACCACAAGGCTGACATCAGCTCCTGGTTCATGGAAGCAATAGAATACATAGGTAGGTTTGTACCATGGCCTGGGAGGTGTGGGGAGAGGTGGCAGAAAATCTGGACACAGCAAGGCTGATGCATAGAAGGGTTCAGTGACAGGATTTAGTCTAGTGCTAGTTAATTGCATATTGTATGTAATGTGTGGCAGTGGCTTGAGTGGCAGGAGTGAGCTACTTACCCTTCTCTCCCTTCTGACCCTGCAGACTCAGTGAAGGACTGCCACGGCCGGGTGCTGGTGCACTGTCAGGCTGGCATCTCACGCTCCGCCACCATCTGCTTGGCCTACCTGATGATGAAGAAGCGAGTGCGGCTGGAGGAGGCCTTTGAGTTTGTCAAGCAGCGCCGGAGTATCATTTCCCCCAACTTCAGCTTCATGGGTCAGCTGCTGCAGTTTGAGTCCCAGGTGTTGGCGACATCATGTGCTGTTGAGGCTGCCAGCCCCTCAGGGACCCTACGGGAACGTGGCAAAGCCAACTCCACACCAACATCCCAGTTCGTCTTCAGCTTCCCAGTGTCTGTGGGGGTCCATTCCACCCCCAGCAGCCTCCCCTATCTGCACAGCCCCATCACCACTTCACCCAGCTGTTAGCCTGTGGCATCAACTAGGATGAGGGTGACGACAGTGGTGTCACAGATGCCTTTTTGCAGGCAAGGACACTGACCAGGCTGAGTTGCCTGGGAACTGCCAGCTGCAAGGCCATAAGACCCGGCGTGAACCGCTGAATGGCCAAGCAAAACTCCTTGACCAAGAGCAATAATGGCTGACTTTGCCACTGGTTTTGGACTCTGTGTGTGTGTGTGTGTGTGTGTGTGTGTGAGTGTGTGTGCGTGTAAGTGTGCATATGTCTTTGTTTTCTTAGAGAAATTTCTTACCTCATTTTTGTTGTGGTTTGTTTTTGTTTTTTTTTTAAGCAGGAGGCTTGAAGTTGTGAAATCCACAAATCCTGACAATGTGTCTGACCAGTTTTGCTTGGGAGAAAAAAGTACCATTTCCCAAAGTGCCTGGTTTTGATTTTTTTCCTGATTTCTGCCCCACCCTCCTTTAAAAAAAAAAAAAAAAAAATTCCCCTGCCTGCCCCTAGGAAAAAAAAAAAACTTTTTTTTTTTTTTAACTGGGGCAAGGGGATATTTATTGCAAAACTTTCTTCCAGTTATTGAATGCAGCAATTGTGCTACTGGTGACAATTGTAGAGCCTATTTATCTTGAACTGTGAGCACAACAGCAGCATGCAGGTTTCATGCAAGTTTCAAAGTAACTAGAGAACAAGTTGGTTGCTTGCATGTCTGTGCAGACTAGTGCAGTGACGGTGGAGCCATCTCCTTCACTGGAGGGACATGAGTTTCCTTGAGTCTGCAATAACACAGGCTGGGGGAGGGGTTCCCTTGCTGGACACAGGGGACTTGTGATAATAGGATCACTTCAATCACTGCACTGCAATGGCGTCCACAGGACTTCCACCTGAGGATCAATGTGTGGACTTAGTGGGTAGCATTTAGTCCTAGTGCCCTGTTTCCTTCCTTGTCTGGCTGGGTACAGCTTTGTAGTCATTTATTTTGAACTAGACAAGGTTGATTTGTTTGCTGTGAAGTGCTTGTGATGTTGCTTTGCTACATGCACCATGCTCATCTGGACCACCGCATATGTCTGAGCGTGAGGCAGGTGGGGATTTATGAAGTAAGAGCCCCGAATGCACGCTGAAGGGCAGTCCTCTGGCCATAGGGCATGAGGAACATGTTGGGAAGCTTGCGTCTGAGGCGCAATGGCAGGCTACATAACTTACAAGCACCTGTGACTGGGTTCCTGCACTTGAACAGAATAACTCTTATAGTGTGAGGGGTTTTCTTGTGCTGGAGTAGTGCCCTTTTACCACTGGAGAACACAGCTCCCTGTGTCAGTGCAGGTGTCCTGCTCTTCTCAGGTGGCCATTTTCCAACTGTAAAGTGTGCTGTGTGATTGGGTGGTGTCCTTTGCTGTGCCCCCATGATTCAAAGCCATGATACTTGTAATGCCATGCTAGAAACACCAACTACTGTGCAGCAGTGGATCCACCCTATACTCAGACTTGGCCTTTCTGATACTGTATTTGCTAGAACTGTGGTCAATAGCATTCTTGTGCCACGGTGTCACCAGATTCATTCTAGCTTGCAGGTTACTACCGCAAGGAACCAACCTTTGGTTCATTGGCTTAATTCCCCTTTGCTTTAGTGAACCCCAGATACGGGCCTTGCTTTGTTCCCAGTAGCAAACTACAATTTCCCAGCCTAATAAGCTCAAAAACTGAGTAGAGAGGGGCTGCAGCTGACTTGGCCACTTGCTGTATAGGGGGCCAGTGGAAAGCCTGTAAAACACAAGAGTGGTATCTTTTGTATGCTCCCCTTTCCAGCCTACATCACATAGCAACTTATCTTCTACTTACCGTGTTGCAACCCATGCTAACATACCCACCAAAGGAATGAAGTGTTGGTTCCCTCCAAGGGAAAGAAGGCAGGTCATCTCTTGCTCAATGCTGATATGTTAAATGCAGATATTTTGAGCCAGTTTTCAGACTGGGCAATCAGGGTGAACCCTGAAGGTGTTTAGGTTCTTAAAAGGCCTGCTGCTTCTCTCTTATTTTTTCGCATGTGCAAGTCTTTTGTAATGGCAGCTTGAAACTGAGCCACACCAAAAAAGAGCTTGTTGCCTGGCAGAAGCTGGTAGCTGCTGGAATATGAGGTCTGTTGCAAGATGCTGGCTGGATATCAGCAAAACTGCATTGCATGTGATTCCACCATTGTGCAACCATCTCCATGTATTCGGTGACCCTTTCTTAGCAGTGTGGTTCATAATGGTTCCCTACTTATCAAGTTCCACTGCCCATGGGCTGAAGGAGTTCAGGGTCCATGGGTGAGGAATCGACCCAGATGAGCCACAGAAGACCCAGAAAACAAATGCATCTGAGCTGTCTGGTCGCTTGGTCTTTGTCCTCTTTGCGGTTTCTTTCATCCAGGACATGCTGAGCACCTTGTGTCTGCTGTTATGGCAATAGCAGATTACCCAGTGAGCGTCAGCCCAGGCTATGTCTGCCAGTCAACTTGTACAGCATGTTTTTAGCATCTCTTCCCCATAGTCTTCTTCACTGTGGCAGGACAGAAGGACCACTAAGAAGTCCAATAGAGAAGCAGAAGTCAGTGCCTGGTTGTGTGTCACTAATGTCATGGGGACTATTAACAAGCTAGCCTTGTGTGCAGTATTTTGCATACAAGATACATTGACACTGGGCATTTGGAAGCTTCCATTGCCTAGGGCTTCCTCTTCTAAGGGTCTGCTTAAAGCCCAGTGTAGGTGAGGAGCATCTTTCACCAAGTGTGGAACTGGGCTGAATGCAGATGGGACCTCAGGTTAACATGTGAGATCCTAAATATTAATGTGCTTATCGAGAAGCTGGCAGCCCCCACTGGTGCTGCAGTGTTTGCTAGGGGCAGGTCTTTGTGGCCTAATGCCGCAAGCTCTCTGCGCACAAACTCTGCTGTGCCTGGATATGCAAATTGCATTGTAGTATTTGTGGGTAATCATGGGCTCTTCTGCTGGGAGATCTCCTGTCCAGCACTTTAAGGAACAGAAGCCCCTGCTGGGAGCACTTGTGGCTGGCTTGGATGTTTGCACAGACTGCCTGTCTCTGGCCAAGATGGCTACTGATGCTTTGGGCAGGGTCACCTTCCTGAGGAAGAGGCTTTGGATCCAATTCAGAGAGTAACGCAATATTCTCTTAACTCCTGTGCAGAGCCTCATCTCTCCACACGATCCAGTTTCTACACAGGATGTGTGTTTTATGTGTTTGTACATAGATGTTTGGTTTTTTTAGAAGTTGATGTTTTTGTTCTTATTTATTGCCTGAGAGAGAGTTCATTTGGAGACAAATAAATGCATTTTCAGCAGACCTGTTTCTTCTACTGCTCACTTCTTCTTTCACCCTTAAATTTCAAAGCTCTTCACCAAGGAGGTTGGGCATACAAATATAATTAGTGCCATACTGAGTCGGACCAAGGCGCCATCTAGCCCGGGATCTGTTGCCAACGGCCAAGGATAGATGCAAAAAAGGGAAAGTATTGGACCGGAGCTCTCTAGAAAGATCTATCCCCTGTTGAACACCCTGTCTGGTGTCCAATATTATTGGTTTAGGGATGCTAGAAGAAACTTTTCCAACCATCCTCTATTCAGTATCCTCCCTGGTCTCCACCATTAGAGATGCCAGAAGAAACATCCCCAACTGTTCTGTTCAATAGCCATGAATAGACCTGTCATCAATGAATAATGCCTCACAAATCTGACTTGAGGCTCAGGGTTGCTAGAGTCTCTTGTGTGCCAGGTGGCAGCTGCTTTCCATGGAGTGTAGGCAGCATGGTCACAAACGGTCCATCGTCAAAGCAGCTGGGGCAGGAAGACAGCGGAAGGGCTGGTACTGAGGTCTCCGGCAGAAGCCGCATGGATATTTTTCTAAAAGTTGTACTGGGGCAGGGTGCGATACTGCCAAAGCATAAACGGTATGAGGAGTGGTTCTTCCATGACCCCCAGAAGGTATTCCAGGAGTAAGAGGAGGTTGTGTCAACTTGGAGCATGCCTCTTGGCTGACCTGGAACAGACCAGATCAGGCTTCCTGCAGCCGGAGTCTCAGGGCTTAGAAGTAGGGTGTGGCAGCACAGTAGAAGACACTACTATGCAGAGACACCAGCCTCACTGTGTTAGGCCCAAAAATCTCTTTGGGAGTTTCCCCAAGGGTGCCTACAGCCGGCTGGCCTGCTTCCTGGGGAACACCTGCAAGCCTGGGGTAACACTGCCACTGCCTAGGCACTGGTCAGGGCTCTGTGCAGCTCAAGGCTGACATCCTGCAAGCCTTGGGGGTGCCTTGCCCACAGTTAACATTTCTGGGTGCCTCTTTCAGCCCAAAGCATCCCAGGATAACCTTAGGTAGGATTGAGGGAACATAAATAGACAAGATCTGCAGGCCAGGCGGGGAACAAAAAGGCTTGCCTCTCCCCACTCCACAGCAATACAGCAAGGCACTCACCTGATACCTTTATTGATCAGGGGAAAAAGGAGGGTAGAACAAGGAAGTCATAATACACTTTGGGCAAACATAAACAATCAGCATCTTATACAGTCTTGGATATAATAATCCTTTTAACACGTCTGCCTAGACAGAAATTCTAACTCCGGGCTAGTTTCCAAGTTTTTACTTACAGGAATAATCCAGGCTGCAGCCTAGAGGCACTTTGCTTGTGGCTTTTCAAAATGCCCGCCAGAGGTAGAGGGCACTTCCTGCTCCCCTCAGGAATTTATCCGGCCAAGTCACCTGGTTGACCAGCCTGAATCAAATAGAAAGCAAGAGAGAGGGAGAGAGATCCAGCTGAAATGACCAAGGGAGGGACAGAGAGGGGGGTTTCTTCACATAGGGTTTATAGCATGAAGTAGTTCCTACTTCAGAAAGGGTTGCAGACATACGATACAGCCCCTAGAAGCAGTTTTGCCAGCTCCATCAGTAGCCAACACTGCCGCTGGCAGAATCAGGACTAAATATGTTCCACTTGCAAGTCCTGTGTGTTGGGTTTTGCTTGGCTATGGTTCCCAACCCTCAATTCTCCTGTATCCCTCCCTCTTCCCCTCCCCTGCCCAATTCTACCAGTTGGTTGGCCATGCTGCTACCCTGTGCTGCTGTGTACTCTCTCAGAGCAGGCTGCTGTAGTGCCCTCTGTGACCCCTGCTGCTCTGGAGTCATGGTGAGCAGGCCTCACCGCTCCCTTGAAATTCTAGTCCAGGCCAGGTGCTGTCTGCTGTTAGGCTACCCCAAGGCTCAGGGGCCTCCCCTGGGAGTCTGGCACCACCTCTTCCTCTGCAAGTGAAGAAAAACTCTCATAGAACTTGCAAGGATGCTGCCTTCTAGCATCCTCGTGCTCTACAGCTAAATAAAAGTACAGAAAACCTAGTGAGGAGCAGGGTAGGGGAAGCACTGAAATCTGAGCCTCCCTGGGGCATGTGCTCCCCAGAGTTGACATGCTAGTACCTGGTTAAATTGGTATTTTTAGATTCTAATTCCCCGGTATCCCCCTTTCCCATGTTGAGGAGGTTGTACATGAATAGTGCCCTGCACTTGGCTAAACAGAGCTGCATGACATGGCCCAGTGTCTCTGCACTCAGCTGTTTCTCCCCATGAAGAGGCCTTATCTAGCTGGAGACATTCTGTTAGGTGTCTCCAGCTGTCTCAAGCCCTGTGCAGCTAGGAAAAAATGTAGTCATGCTCCAGGCCTGCCTACAAGGACTTTGCTTCTCAGGCAGGAGAAGCTAAGTGGCTCCTGCATGCCTGGGGCTAGGTAGGGGATACGGCCAGCTATAGGCAGAGGCCAGAAGATAAGCAGAGCTGAGCCAGGCACCAGAGAGAGAGGCAACTGTGGGGGAGCCCAGGGGAGATTAGCTCAGGGTGTCCCTTAGGGTATGTACACATGTACTAACTTTTTGACAGTTAGACTGACTTAACTTTTTAAAGTCAACTCAACTGTCAGAGCAAACACACGTATATAGAACAAGGTTAGTCTGAGGTGTATTATCTTGAGTCACATTAGTTAAGTTGACTTAGCTCACAAGATGAATGCCATGGTCAAGGAACTGTAAGTGTGTACATGCCAACATGGCTTAACTAAATTGACTTAAATTGCCTTATTTTTAAGTCAACTTAGTATATGTGTATGCACACTTAGAGACTAACTGGTTCAGAGAGGCACAACCTTTCATTGGCGACAGATGCTTAGCATCTAATGAAGTAGGCTGTCACCTACTAAAACTTGTGCCTTTTTGAACCAGTTACTCAAAAACACCACCCTGCCCTGCCTTTGACCTGACTTTGAACTAACATGGCTAACCTCCTCTGAGCCTCAAGAAATATAAAGCATGTGCAGAGATAAAATCAGGACAGCAAAGGCAAAAATGAGACGTAGCTGTCCAGGGATATTAAAGACAACAAAAAAGCGTTCTTGTAAATATCAGACAGAAAAGAAAGATCAGGGAAACTGTGGGTCTGTCGCTCTATAGCAGGTGCACAGAAGGCAGAGCTGCTCAGTAACAAGTTTGCCTCAACATTTACAATAAATAAATAAATGCGACTGGAGAACTACCAAAATAAATAGAAGATAAAAAGGTGGAAAGGCCGCAGATCGTAACAAGTGCATCAGGGAGCCTTTGACCAGATCTGAATTAATTAATTCAGGGAGACCTGATGAAATCCATCCCAGGCTGCTGGGATGAAATCTAGGAGCCACTATCAGAAATATTTACAAAAATCACAGATGATAAGCCTGGTCCCAGAGGATTGGAAAAATGGACTAATATACTTCAGGGGAATTATGGACTGGTTACCCTGACTTCAATACTTGGGAAGCTACTGGGATAAGTTTTAAATTGGCCGTTTGTGAACACCTGGAAGAGGAAGGGGCGATCACTAGCAGCTAACAAGGAATTGTTCAGATCAAATCACGCTAAACCAAATTGATTTCCTTCTTTAATGGGCTCACCAGCTAGGTGAATGAGGTAAATAAAGTGAACATAATATATCTGGACTTCAGACAGGTTTTTGATACAGTCCCACATGACATTCCCGTAAGTAAACTGGAGATGTAGATAACATATCAATCCACCTGTAGGCAAATACATAATTGGTGGACTAACTGAAAGCAAAAGGTAACTAGAAAACATTCAGTATCTGAATGTCAGCAGTTTCAGGTAGGGTTTCATGAGGGAGGAGGCTTGGGCTATGTAACAGTTTTATTAATGACTTGGATGTTGCTCTGAGAGCATAGTGATTGTGTTTTTCCCAGATAATGCAAAAAGCAGAGGGGCTGCAAACATTGTGGGGCACATCCAGACAAGTGGGAACATATGCTTTGTGGTTCCTCCAAGGCTTTCGAGGCACCACAAAATGCACACAGCACAAGTGAAAAGGTTCTCCATGCTGCACATTTGCACATTTGGGTATCTAAAAAGGATAAACAGTTGAAAAAAACAAACAAAAAACAGGGCAGTGTATATTGCTGCAGTGTGCACTGCCTGAAACCTGAGCTTGGCCGGCCAGAGCCATGCTTCAGCTGCCAGCCAGGCTCTGTGAACCTGGATCGCCATTACTTCAGCCCTGGAAGGCCCCAGGACTCCAGGTAACGCTGCTGGGGCCAGCCAGCCTCCCCTACCCCACCCAGGGCAATTTGCCATGTGTCAGAGTGCACGTGTAGGGGCATTCCCCAGGGACAAGTAGCGGCACCACTATGTGCTGCTGCTACTTGTCCCCTGGGAAACAAACATTTCTGCTCATCTAAAAGCACCCTTGGAGGCTAGGAGTAGGAGGATTATGATAAAGTAGAGAATTTAAAGAACAAAAAAGCAGCTTCCCAGAATGGGAGACAATTGGCTGGGCAGTGGTGCCACTGAGAGGGCTCTGGGAATTATGGAGGATCACAGATTCATTATGAGTCAGAAATGTGATGCAAATGAATTTTGGGTTGCATTAGCAGGATTATTATAGGCAAGACCTGAGGGAAGCTAGCACCACTTGGCACTGGTTGGGCCTCAGCTGGAGCACCATATGCAGTCTTGAGCTCTGCAATCTGAGGAAGATGTAGAGAAACTAGAGAGGACTCAACGGTGAATGACAAAGTTTATGAAGGGTTTGGGATGAGGAGGAGAGTTTGAGAGCACTGGGTATGTTAGTCTAGAGAAAAGGAGCTTGAGCAGGTACATCCCAGCTGCTTGCACATATTTGAAAGGGTGCCATAAAGGAGAGAGAGAACAACTGTGTTTTCTTGCCACAGAGGGAAAGGCATAAAGCAATGGGTTTACGCTGCAGCACAGCAGGTTTTGATTATATCGTAGGAAAAAAAAAACTCAGCCCCGGCCTGATG